TAACAATAAAAAATAATCAAATAACCCAATTAAAAAATGGGCAAAGGACCTGAACAGACATTTTCCAAGAGAGGACAAATAAATGGCCAAGAGGCACATGCAAACATGCTCAACGTCACTAATCATCAGGGAAATGCAAATTATAACCACAATGAGATATCTCACTCCAGTTAGAATGGAATCATTGTTCAGTATATGCATGTGTTGAAACAACACAGTTTACCCCACAAATATGTACAAGTAAGTGTTAAAATTTTTTTTTTTTCCCCTTTTTGTCTTTTTTACTGACCAGCAATGGGATCGCAACCCTCGGTGTTGCGCCCGCACCGTGCTCAGCCAGTGAGCGGGAACCGGTCTCCACATGGGATCTGAACCCTCAGCAGGAGCGCCACCGCGCTCCCAAGCGGTGCACCACTGGGCCAGCCCTAAAATATTTTTTAAAAAAACTAAAAAACACTGTTTCTGTTAAACATGGAGGGTAACTTACTTCCTCTGCCCTGTAGCTATTTTACTTTATTTTGTTTTAAATAAAGTTATTATTTGAATAAATAATTTAAATAAAATTTAAATGAATTTATTTAAATAAATTTATGTATTTCTATTGTATTTTATTTTAAGTCTCCATACTGTTTGCTGCTGGACTCCCTAACTTGGCTGTGTCTTCTCATAGTCCTAGATCAGACAACCTGCCCTCACATTCTTCTGGAATTCTACTCAGAGCTGACTTTCTGCTGGAGTCTTCTTATGATATATACCCTCACCAACATGAGCAACTACTGTTCTTAGTGACTAAATTCCAGTATTGCTTTTCTAGTCATTGCTCATTTCTGAGTGGTTAACAGCTTTTGGAAAATAGATCACTGTCTTTACCCTCCTGAAGTTTGAGTAGACACATTTCAAAAATTATGCCTTCATGAAAACTGAAATATAAAAATCAGAAGACTAAAAGGAACTCCTGGAAATTGTCACTGTATCACCCTCCTCCATTGGGCTGTTCTCTATAAAGCCATCCTAGCAGAAGCTTGGTGAAATGAGAAGAATGTGTGGAGTACTGGAAGAACCTATGCTGGAAACAGAAGACAGGTTCTGCCATTTCCTACTTATGTGAATTTGTGCAAGTCACTCAAGTTTTCTGAACTTTGGTCAGTTTCTTCTTCTGTAGAATAGGGAGTATGTGACCTACCTCCCCAGCATGGCAGACCCCAGCAAGTCAGGTGCTTTAGTGCAAAATATAAAAAGGCACCTCCACTGTGTGGCCCTAGACCCAAGGGCACACAACTGAGTGAGAGGAGCACAAGCTAGATTTCAGCCCATACTTGCCCCTCAGCTGGGCACCTGGTGCAGTGCATGACCTGAAACCCTGTGCAGCAGCCAAGCTCCCCTGAGGTTCACCTTCTTCCACCATTAGGAGCGAACCTGGCGCAAGGGGTGGGCAGGGAGAGTAATGGGCCTGACTGGCTGCTTGGCAGGGACTTTACACATTAAGAAGGTGCCTGATTTTTAACCTTCTAACTAATCTTGCTTTTACACTGATTCTTCTTTATTTTCATCACACGATTAACAATGTCATATTAACATATTAGCTCAGGGGCCGGCCCGGTGGCGCACTGCTACAGTGCGCCACTTGGGAGCGCGGCGGGGCTCTCGCTGAGGGGTCGGGTCCCACATACAGACCGGTTCCGCTCAC